GCAAACGAAATGCAACAGATAGTTGCAGTCGCATTCGCAATCGCCATTCACGTTGTAATTGTGCTTTATTGTTTTATTTCTGTTGTCGCCGTCATCTTTCAGCGCATAAGTCAACACTTCACAAAAATGTTTATGAATGAAATTTTTCATTTCTCACAAAACATCAATTGACAGCCAGCAGGAAAAACAAGTTTTTGGTTTAGCAAAAAAAGACATACATAACTATAAAGAAGAAATTAAGCGAATTGAACAAAAAGAGAAGCTTGAAAACAAAAATGAGGCAACGTTCACGTAGTTAACTGTAGGCGTTAAACAAAAAAAAATGAAATTAATTAAGCTACACAATGTACATATGTATTATACTATATATGTATGTAGATATATGTACAAATATATATGTATGCGCATTGGGGTGGTCCAAAAAGGCATGTGAAAAAGTAAAGCCGGCATTTTTATGCTCTCACCCCCTAGGATTGTTCTATACCGAAAAAATATACCCCTTTTTTTTGGAATCAAAAAATATTTAGAGATCGCTCAGTGGGAAAAAACTACTTTTCGTAGAAATAGTATAGAATTCTTAAAAATCAATATTTTTATCGAAAAACTCTTTTTCTCTGCAGGGGATTCCCAATAGCAATACCCAATTATTTATTTCAAAATAAAGAATAGGGGTACACTTTTTTCGATATAGAACAATCCTAGGGGGTGAAAGCATTAAAATTCCGACTTTACTCGTTTTGGACCACCCTAATGTACATATTCTATCCAGTATGAGAGTATAAATCAATAAATAATATGTGCTTGGAATCATTTCTTAACTTAAAGAAATCCACAAAAGTATATGCTAAGTTACGTATAAATGTATTTTGCATAATAGTAGTCGCAAAAAATTTAAATTTTAATACAAGCAAGCATTTGACACTCCCAACTGTTTTGCACATTTAGTTTTATTGTGTACCGATTTAGGAATATTACGTATGCTGAATTTTAACCTTTCATATTGCAGTCGACCAATAACTCTTTTTGGCTAAAATTATCTCATTCGAATTTTTCTATTTTGTAATTTAATTTTTTTCCCCATTCAAGGACAGCTTCATTAGTTGCGCCATTGTTTTACGAAATCTTCGATAAATCAATTCTGTTGTTTAATAATAAATTTGCTGCTAGACCAATATATACATCCTGAACGTTCGCAGAAAAAAAAAACCAAAATCAAATTTTAATTCAACTTTTAATAAAATGGATTTCACTAGCTGCAGCTGTCTGTTGTCAGTCGTTGGAATATTAAATTAGCTCGCAGTGCTTTACTGTCAAAAATATATAGAATTACCGTTTTAGTATGTACATAGAGTAAATACTTATAAAAAAAAACAGGTGCAAAGTTATGGCTTTAAAATGGCACATATTAGTGCTAATTGGAGATCAGTTATTAACCAGAATGACTATCATTTATTAACCAGAATGACTATAAGCGACCATCAGGATAAGATGCAGAGATAGTTGTCGAGAGTTATAGTTTTAATGTAAGCCTAAGTGGAATGTTCTATCGCCTTTTGTTTCGTCGCTAGAGCTTTTGAAAAATTGAAAAATCGAGATTTTTTGACAATTTGACTTTTAAATTCTGGAGCTGAGGATACAGTCTCTACAGGGCGGAAAAGGTTAAAAGTTATCCGATTTCGATAAAATTTGGTTAGCACACGTATTTACCTAACATAAATCTAAAATACTATATTGAAGATTTGTCCACAGGCAATGCCACCACACAAACAAAATATGGCTGCAAATGTTAAATATGGTCCCGATTGTCATGAAATATGTTGTTAACTTTCATAATACGCGGAAATACATTGAAATCAAGTTAATACACATTTTCTGTATCGCCATTGTTTAAGATATTATATTTAAGCCAGGCCGACAATACATACTAATATTTGAGATCAAATGATAAATATACTTTATTTAAAAAAGTATCATATGCAACCTTATTTCCCATATAAATGTATTATTTTCAACGGTGGACCCCTTTCTAATTCCCAAAATATAATAAATTTGTCGAAATTTATGTACTGAGAAAAGCTTGGAACTTTAATACGATTAATAGTAGCTTACCATCCACACAAAGATCGCTACAACGTCATCTTACATAATAAATTAATAACGCTTAGAGTTTTACTGAACTGGGCTTTTATTTTTTTTACGCTCAATTTTTTTTTTCTTTGTTTTCCGATCACCAAATCTCAAACAATTCACAAATTTTTAAACCAGGTGCCACTATAAAAATTATTGGGAAATAAAGACTAGTGTATATTAGCCATAGGAAATTACTTTAGTTAATAATACATACTGTCCTTTAATAGCAGCATGGCAGTGGGCATATGCGAGCTTTTTTTTCTTTTTTATCAAAGTTTTTATTTCCTTATTTTTTTCTTTTTTGCACTTAATGCACTGGGGTTTTCAAATATTCGCCTTTTTTTAAAATCCGGTTTTCGAGTTATTCCAAAAAACTGCAATTTGAAAAAAATCGGTTCCTGATTTTAGAATTAAGAAAAACCGGTTTTATTTTACATAGTTTTCATACAAAGAAAATTCGAATGTTGGTATGAAGTAATGACCAAAAATTACAGTAAATCTGTTATCAATAATAAAGATTGATTTTATTTAGAAAAGAGCAAAGCAAAGTAAGTTCAAGAGTATAAGAGAACAAATCCAGCAATTTTTGTTCAATTGATCGCCATTTTGGATCCGCCATTTTAAATTTTGAAAAACTGAAATCAGATGCGTAATCAGGGACCCTAGAAATTCCTTGGCAACGAGTTTGAGTTAAATCGTTTAGTATCAACGTTTTAATATAGCAGTCTCTTTTAGAAAGCATATTTTCAGGCACTAGGCCGATTCTAACTGTCCAAGACAGGTATGTAATTAATGGAATATTCCCCAATAATACCTGAGTAATTACATGTAAAAACAACATTTTTTGCACTAAAACATGTCGCGAAAATAAAAAAATTTAAAACATCAGCGTTTTTATAAAAAACCGACCAGCGCGACCTCAAATTTTTTTTTTTATTTTTTATTTTTTTTTTTAATAAAAAAATACGTTTTTTTTCCTGCCCTCCCTCTCTGAAGTCGAACCCATTAGAAGAATGGGAAGAACTGAAAACTGCGTTTCCTTTGTTGTTCTGTTCCTTGCAAACGATTGTTTTCGAAAGCAGGAGCAACAATAACCACGTCAAGAAATCGGTTGACCATCAAACAAAAGAATACTTTTTTCGCTGAAATATTTTATTAATAAATATTTTGTTAAATAAGATCAACTTGTACTCTTTTCCAATGTGTTTGTATCTATGTAAACACCATTCATCATTAAGCATATAGTTCTGCTATGTAACGGAGTTTTATTTATTTTCAGTTCCTACATTATTAAATTTTATTATTCGGAGTTTAGAATTCTCAGAGGATGATTAACTTCTTATTTAAAAAAATAAATTTAACTTAATACGGAATACACAATGAGTACCGATACGAGTTGGTATCGATACTTCAGGCCCGATATTTTTCAGACTTCGATACTCTTTTTCGATACTACTTCCAAGTATCATGCATGGTATCGTTTCATCTCTATCAACGACACTATTTTCTGGGTTCCCGGCAAAATAGCTCATCAGGTGTCTATGAACGAGACGGAAATGTAGATCAGTGAGACGGATTTCATTCTTCAATCTAATCATCTGAGAAGAACTGACTAGTATACCACTCCCGTAGCATATGACTTGTGAACCAAACGAGAGAATTGTGAAGTATCAAGATCTTTGTGGTAAAGGTTGAATAAGAAATAGATCTTCAACGATGGCGTATACCAACTAAAACTGGCATATTTCTGTTTTAAACGTAAAAATCGATAAGATCGGATTGTGCGACATATAACGAAAAAAAAATCTCGATTTCTAATCGGATACCGAGAACATCGAATTCAACGACAGAGCAGATAGTTTAAATTTGTTTCCACATAGAATTTTGTTAATGATAAAAAATTGTTTGTCATCCTAAATTTTAATATATTTTAAGATAAGATTTTGAGAAAAAACGTGTTTTCAGTTTTACAAACACATATTGAATTTTATTATGTAGAATATATTAAAAATATATATATATATTGATACATTTTTATTTTTTGTTTTTTTTTTGTTTTTACTTTACTAACTATTACTTTTTTAAACGCAAATCTCTAGACCCCTTTTTACGCTACTTTAAATTTTGGCACAATTTTACAATCTTCAAGTTTTAGGTCGCTTTAATTACATTGGTATTATAGAAATTTTTTCACGCAGCTGTCAATTCCTTCTCAACCACTCAGCTTTTATCATTCTTACATACTTGACTACACCCAATTAACCCATTTACCTTCTTTTCGTTTTGAAAACAAGAAATAATCGATAATTTGTTAATCCACGCAGCCCTGGCTGCCTAAGAACAGCTGCAAATGTTCTCGATGCACTCACTTTATGTAGATTCCAGATTATCGGCTTATGTGCAGCTAAAGTTTATCAGGTTGTATGTAAAAGTTTGTAAATTGACGTTGTATAATTGTTGTATAGCAATTCAAAAAAGGGTGTCAAGTAAACATCTATTTTCTTAGATAATCGCTTTTCTATTTGTAACATAGAAGTATAGCAAATAAGCTTAGGCTTTATAATCGAATACTTGAAATCTATTTTTTGATTAGGTGTATAAACTCGAGCTCATTTATGACAGTTAGTACTTAAGATAAAGACGCAACCACTTTTATGTTTTCGTAAAGATGAAAGCTTAATACACGATTTACTCAAATGTATTTTACTCAGATGTGAAGTCGAAAAAAATTCATTTCGTATACATATTAAAAATTCAAAATTATTTTGTAAATATGTTCGTACAATTTGTTTTACATGGTACATATGTATGTAATCTCTTAATCATATATTAAAATTAATCATTTCATACTATTCTTCCCTTCGTTTCAGAACGCTTGACATAAAAGAAGAAGATGACGACAAAGACGACATACAGGCCTTTTCGCCACCAACGAATTATATAACAATATCTCAAGGAAAAATTCAGCTAGTACACCAACAGCGATCGCAGGATAGTGATATATCCGATGCACAAAGTCGCAAAGATCGGGTAAGTTTGCAAAAACGAAATCATTTTTCACCATTTGTATAAATTGTACATACAAATATAGATTAACATATGTATGTATGTATGTATGTACTTCTTTTATAGACCGCATTGATAAGTTCTAGTCCAAAGGTTTGTTTAAAAAACGCATTTGAATTTAAAGTACATATGTATGTATGGTGAGAAGCTTGTGAAATATTACGGTTGTCCTTAGCCTTGGTCGTCACTTTGTGAGTTCGTATTACATGTCTTTGAAGTAAAAAAAAAAACAAAATAAGGTCATTGCCAGTTCTTTATACACAAAACTTTTCGTATATGAAGTTTTTAGGCTAAAGATCAAGCCATTGGTCCGCTTGTTAAAAACGTTTAACTATTTACATAGACTTCCATTATTCAAAAATCTACCCAGTAGATAATTTCAGGAGCTAAACGGCCTTCTTGAGAGTCAATAGGCCTTCCACTCTACATTCCTTTCTCTTTTCTTTTTTATATGGAAAGGCACAAATTGAAGGCCACCCATAGAAGAACTTTGATTGAACGGATTTCAGAAGGCCTTTTAGAGGATAGTAAATAGAAAAAGACCTTCTAGAGGCCATGCAGGCAAACACTTTTTTCAGTCCTTCTTGGGTAGGTCTTTTAGAATGGCTTCACTTCGGAAGGCCTGCCTAAATCATTTTCTGGGTAATTAACAGTTTTTTTTAATATTTTCTCAAATCAATTTTGTGCCGAAATTTTCATATAAGGAAGGTCTCGAGGTAATAATTTAGTTGGAAAATTGTGTCACAAGAGGCTAAAAGAAAGGAATGCTCTTAATATAATAAATTCAGCGTTCAACTTTATTTATGGCGTATTACACCGTGCGACAGTAAATTTTACATAAAAAAAAAAATGAATAGATTCGCGAATCTATGGGTAAATTATAGTATAACTGCCTACTTAGTTTTTCTTTCTGACGTCAGAATTTTTTTAAAAGGATTTTGAAATTTAAAAAATATGATTATTTCAAAAAATTCTTTAAAAATTTCAGGATAAAAATAAGGGTATCATATAATAGAAAAAATTCTGCATAATTATAACAGAATAAAATTTTGGTGCATAAGGACGAATCGGTATGGAAAATGTCCTTTACAAATTTTGTCCTTAAATATCCTTAAAAATTTTCAGTATTTTTTTGTTTTAATTTTTGTTTGAGGACTAATATACGCACGACCTCATAATCGAATTTCGTCCAGCAAACTTTATTAACTTAAAAAGATAAAATTTATTAAAACCCCATTTTCAATACCTATTCGCCCTTGTAAACTAAACAACTTTATTGTTTTTAGATCCTTCAGAATTTTCTTTCTGATTTTTTTAAATATTTTTTTTTAATTAATCATATCTTCAAAATTTCAAAGTTCTTTGAAAAAAATCCTGACGTCAGAGTGAAAAACTAAAAACGCAGTTTTACTATATTTGGCCCATAGTTTCATGATTATATCGATTCTTTCGTGTGTTTTGAATTTTTTTTTGTTTTTGTCGCACGGTGTTATATAAGCAATATTAAATTGAAGAACTTTAACCCTATTTTCTTCATTAATATTTTTCGAACATCGTTAATATTATAAGTTAACAGTTAGACACGGCCGAGGTATAGTTCTTAATTTGATACAGATATGTATGTGACTGTTTTCACTCTGCTAACAAAACTTGTGGGTGCATTTTGACCTCGAATTCACCTTAGGGAAAACAAACCCATGGGGCCGATTTCAAAGTGCTTAGTTAAACCATTGTTAACTTAACCATAAACAAGAGATTAACTATGAGCTTATATTCACAGTCCCATAATTAACTATGGAAATTCTTAAAACCAATATTTTTCTACATATCGACTGCTGAGTGGAAGATCGACCTATCTCGGCAGCCAGCTCGAAAACGCTCTATTTCAAAAAACGTTTCAATAAAATTCTGAATTATAACGTTCTTGAAAAGTGTTTTGACAAAGGGCGTTATCGAACTGGCTGCCGAGATAGGTCGATCTTCCACTCAGCAGTCGATATACAAATTTAAAACTTTGGGGCATTTTGGTTTAAACTCTTGATAATTGAGCACTAAGAATATCAAAATCGATAGTTACATTCTTGCCAGTGGTTAACTACGCGCTGTGAATTTGGCCCTAAAAAATGTATTCGTTTTTTTTCTAATCAAATTATTTTAAGTTTACCTAATAAATCACTTGGACTAAAACCATCAATGCTCTCTATTATTGTAAGTCCCTATTGTCGCCATTAATGCAGAAGGACCTTATTTTCTTTTTTGGAAATTGTTTTTTTTTTTTATTATTGTATTTCAGTAGGTTGCTGTGAGATCCATAACAAATTAAGCTAGGGCCAGGTAATGCGCGGTATTCTCGGAAACAACAGTTGGTGTACGATTTTAGACGTTGTATTTCGCGGACAATTTAATAACGGAATTGAATGATCGTAGCTTCGTTCGTTTGAATAACCCTGATGATCTCCAGATGTTATTGCGCTTTCCAAATATTTTATATTTTCGCCTATGTCTGCCGAGTTTAAGGATTATTTTTCCAGAGAAACTTCATTCATACGTATGTACGACATGTCCATGTCAGCGCAATAGTATGTCCATGTCATTATAAAGCTCGCCCAGTACATATGCATGTAGTTCCATATTTTCGATATCCGTTTCTCACGCAAACATCTGCTGACAGAAATTATTCTATGTTTGATATCAAGGCAGACATTATCAGTAGCAGTGCTGCTAGATCCTAAATAAACCTAGTCTTTCACTACTTCAAATATCCAAGAGTGCCAATGCAAGACTGCTTGTGTGTTAGTAGGAGATACTTTGTTGTTTTCGTTCACCAATAGATAGATCCGCCTCCTTCTCTTTCTTGGGTTGATCATATAGCCAGCTTTTTAGGTTAATGCTATTATGTCTTGTACAAGAAGTATTATTAACACACTTTCTTTATATTTAAAAGTGTTTTGCTTCTGCTTTAAAATTTCAATTTTGTCATTTAGGGCCTTTTGCATTGATGGCGACGATGTGTACGAGATACATATGTATAAAGTAGGTATGCGTTTATTTAAAAATGTAATGTAAAAAAGCAGCTTTGAAGTAGTTGGGCTTAACATGGTATATTTGGGAATTAGTGTAATCATAGCTTAACATGGTAATTAAAGCTAATAACGTAAAATAAGGTGTTGCCCATATGCTCACTTACATAATATAAGGGTATTTATACATTTTGTATATACACATAATTATTAATATATTTATATACGAGTAAATAGTAATTTTTAGCTTTGTGGACTTCCCAAATTCCAATATCCCGTTATCAAATTACATATTTATACTTACATTTGCAAAATTAAAAATCCTTTTACATCAAACCCAAAATATTTTAATACAGGTAAATAAGTATAAGTTCCGGCGAAACCGAACTTTATATAACTGGCGCAGGTATCTTCGTTTCACCTTTTTACAAATTACCTTTGCCATAATAAGCAGGGTTATTTTCCCCGATTTCAAACGTTTGCGATAATATTTCGAGTTGAACCAAGAAATCGATAAAGCGGTTAGCGAGAGTCACCTTTGTAGTCATAAGTGGGTGGTGTCACGACCATTTCCTAAAAACCTATAACAGTCTTATTTATTGTTAAGGTACTGTTGTAAGTATTACCTTGGAGTAACTTGTGTCCTTTGAACCAGCCCCATGCCTTGCCTCCAAGCTCTTTTGTGAACTCAGTTATAAAGGTTAAGATGTAAAATAGGGATTGCTTTTAGTCCCAGTCAATTGTTTTTCTACCGGGGTTGTGACTCTTTCTGGTTTTTATGAAAGGTTTAACCGAACGGCTTACTTTATTGACATGCTGTTTAAATTCTGTACCAATTTTATCTGTACTAGGAGTGCCAGTTACTGTAGAAATTCGACCGTTTTTATAGTTATCAGACCCTTGGAGGAGTTTTCTAAATTAGTACGTTATTTAACTTATGTATAAGGTATCAAATTACTAACCGGTAAACATCCTGCTTTGGAACCAAAACGTGACTACAATTTTTTATATATTTGAAGGTTTTTTTCAGGACTTTGGCAGGATTTGGAATTGACCCAATACATTCCAGTTTGTCGATAAATTTCGATAACTCAACAAAATTCGATAACTTGACCCATTTCCATAACTGCGTTTAGAGGGCTCGATAAATTTCGATAACTCGAAAATGAATAAAACTTGATAGAAATAGATAACTCTAAAAAAATTTGGATACCTCTATAAATTTCGCTCGCTCGGTTAATTTTCTTAGCTTCATATTCACACTCTGGTAACACGATAAAATTCGATAAGCAGTGATAACTGGATAAACTTATATAATCTTAAAATCTCGATATATTTTGAAAATTCCAAAACCTTCGAATCGATAAATCGACAAATTTCAGTAAATCAGTAAGTATCGATAGCTCGATAAAATCAAATTGCTCGATGCATTACAATCACTTAATAAATTTCGTTAACTCTATAAATAATTATAATTCAATAAATATCGATAACTTCATAAATTTAATTAACTTAGCAAATTTCGGTAATCCCATAATCTTTTTTAACTAAGCATCTGTAAATTTCGACAACTAATTTTCTGTGTCTATAAATTTCGACAACTCAATAAAAATTGTTCAATTTGAATAATTGCGATAACTTTCGATAACTAGATTTCTTATAACTGAATTTATTTCGATTCCTATCGAAAATTTTCACTAAATGTTCTTACCCTAATTCTTATGTATTTGTCATTGTTTTCATCTTCATCTTTATCTTAAACTTTTTGTCCTATTCGTTATCATTTATTGCTTCATCATCATATTTGTCTTTCTTGCAAAGTTTAATTTCAAATACGAAATAAAACAAAATGCGTAAACAACCCAAATTGAATACATTGCAACAACAACTAGGCACAAATACAGAAATTTTTAAACAACGATTTTGGCCGTTAATTTCAACTCA